TGACAAAGTGGGCTTCATCCAAATGAAAAATTTTCACTCTTTTGAGACACCATTAAGAAAATGAAAAGCCAGACCTCAGACTGAAAAAGGACTCATTTCCAGAATGTATAAGGATTTTAACTCAATAAGAACACAAACAACACAAAGTAATGAGCAAGAGATTTGGACAGATGTGTGGCAGGTTGTATTTTCCAAAGATGCCCCACAATATATTCCATTCCACATGTGCTTTTCCCAACATGATGCTGACGCTCCTCCCACTGAGTAGTGGTGTCTAAGCCCCTCCCCTTGTACCAGGGTGACTGCCTCTATGTCTAGAGTATTGTGGAAGTAACACTCTGACTTCCGAGGCTGGGTCATAAAAATGCCACGAACTTCCACTTTGTTCTCTTGGGATGCTTGGTTTTGAAACCCACAACAGGCCAACCAGCTCCACTAGAGGTTGAGTGGAAGCCAGGTACAAAAGTGTGCATACTCTATCATTTCATTTGTATCTAATTATTAGTGACAGAAAGCAGATCAATGGTTTCCAGGAATTGCAGGTAGGGTAGGAGATCAACCGCGAAGGGACACAAGGGAAATTTTGCTGTGATGAAAACGTTCTATATCTTGCTTGTGATGGTAGTGATTATAATGGAATGTACGTTTGCCAAAATTCATTGAACTTAAAATGGGAGCAATTTATTGTATGCAAGTCAATAAACTTGATTTAAACAAAAGAAAAAGGTTATATGTAAAGAGCACTCATGACACACATTACTTACTCTGCTGAGCTATCAGTTGCCAAGACAGGTCACTTGAGTTATGCCTGAGGACTTCTTGTTCTTTTCTGTATTTCTCTGTGTTGTTTTTCATGCGTAAAATATACTGGAAAGTAAAAGCATGTGATTGCTTTTAGCAGTTTAATTATTGTGGATTAATTACCCATGTAGCCATTCAGCAAACACGTAGTAATTCCTCCTCCACGTGCAGGGGTAACAGTGGTGAAAAAAATTGCCCTTGTCAAGCTTTCATTCTGGGGAGGGACAAAAAGGATCCTGCTTCCTCGTAAGCATTTCAGCACCCAAATAAACATCGCATTCTGAACATAATTTGCCACACACACACACACACACACACACACACTCAGCACCCAAATAAACATCGCATTCTGAACATAATTTGCCACACACACACACACACACACAAACACACACACACACACACACAAAAATTGAAAGGTTTTCTGCCTGAATAGATCATGTCCACAACAAAAATGTGTGTACAGTAGNCTCTAGTCTCCAGGAACTCTGAAAGTATGGGCCTTGGGACATAAACTTAGCACTGGCTCAGCTTCAAAGAGAAAGTCTTATATTATAAACTAATGATAAAAATCTTAGAAATAGCATTCAGTGCCATAGAAGGGGTAGACATGATCCTGTTACGTAGGACTGTTTATACGCACATATTATAGAGTCTACTCATGTATCTTTGATCTTATGTCTGTCTTTGGATGGTTTGTTTGCTGGTTTTGTAGTAAACTAATGTGAAAGCCACCTTAAGCCAAGTCCAAGGCCCTCTCTGAACATGGATCATTGATTTTAGACTTGCCTAGTTCAGCTGGACTCTTCTGTTTCTCCCATAACTCTCTGACTGTCCTATTTTAGTCTCCCTGTTGATTTTCTCTTCCACAGCTCGGTCCTTCAAAGCTGTTTTTCTCCAGGGCTCTCTTCGCAGCTCACTGATCTTCTCATTCAACACACTGTCTCTGAAGAGTCTCACCCATCTCCCAGGTGTAAACCCTGCCTCTGTGCTAATGATACCTGGTAAGACTTCTCCCCTGAACTCCTAAGGTGCTCTTGCTCTGGGGCACTAGATGTGCCCTGTCCAGACTGTTGCACTTAAAAAGCTGAATTATAATTATTCATTTATACGTGCATCTCCTTGGCTACACTATGAGCTTCCTAAGGGCTGGGGTGGTACCTTACTTATCTCTGTTTTCACTATGCCTTGCCCATTGCTTGGGACTCAGTGGATATTTTAAGTGAAGGGCTGTGATCAGCAAGATGGAGAGCAGTGAATGAATAAGATAATGGCATAGGGTCAGCCTGTGGCTAGTAGGTGGATGTTGAATCCAAACACAGAACTTTTAGAATTGTCTTCCACAGAGGCATCCTTTTGCTCACCCATTGCCAACACAACAATGGAAATTCCAATTATTTTATAAATAATCTATATCATCTTGACAGGAAGACAGTCTGGTGGAATACTTCTGTGAGTGAATGAAATTTTTTTTACAAGATTGTTTCAAGGGCTAGAAGAATGAAGATGCGTTGCACAGGTGAGAGTTATTGATGGTATGGACCTAGGCCCTTTGGAGCACATTTTCAAAGTATGTTAGTACCTATTATGCCATTTTGATATCAAAAAGCCACATGGGATTTGTGGGACAACTATTGCCAATTAACAGGTGAAAAAAAATTACCCACAGAAGTGAAGGATTTTATTAATGACATTGGACTAACCAGTGGCGGGGCTACTTCCCCTTACAGTTTAATGCTATAGGAATAATTTTTATTCTTTTACCTATTAAAAATTCTGAAAAAAGTAGAGCGTCAGTTTCCTCATCTATAAAAGAGATGTGACATATTATTGCCTTTATAAGGTTGTTGTGAATATCAGAGGAAACCAAATCCCTCTAACATGCAAGGCATTGTGCACAACACATGGGACACATTGATACAGATCCTGATGTTGAGGTCATTATGGTTTCCAAAAAAAACCATTCTTTTAATTGCATTTCTTCTGCACTTTCAGTTTTCAAAAAGTCACATTCACCCTGTAAAATAGGTATCATTCCTAGTTTATGAAGACAAAAATGAAACTCACAAGTTAAGTGA